CCCTTACTTTGAGATACTTTCACATACCTAAAGATGAGGTGGAATAAAGTATATACCTACATAGCTTTATCCACATCATTATATATGATATAATATAAAATACACTTTTATTAGAATTGTACAGTAAGTTTCCAAGAAAATATTTTGTATAAGTCCGTAACTCTATGAATACACATATTTAGATAAGTACTGAATAGAATTACTTAGATGGGTAAATATATTTTTTGTAAATACATGTGTATATATACATATATTATGAATTTTAGTACAAATATAAACATATCTAGTAAAATACTCATAGATACACTAATGACACTAACGAATAATCTTAAAATTACATTAATAAAGAATTTAATACAGCTGTCATATTATTTCTGCCATTTTAATAAAAATAAAAATGTGGCCTTTTAAGACATGACGATTAATAATTAAGACATGACAATAAAGATTTAAGGAGGCGATAATGCATAAGATTTATTTTTCGGTTTCGTTAAAGAATTCAATATGTCTGGAGTGACCCTTAGGTACTACTTTTCAGTAAACGGTATATGTAATTTATAATGAAACTAATATCACGAGATAGACAAAAGACCACAACGGATTAATGTATGGAAAGGAATATGCGGGCGCTTTCTAGTTATCTAATATTACCACTAATGCCTAAAGACCTTAGTCTCCCTCATTAATTAAAGTATTTAAAAGTAACTGTATACCACAGCCTTGCGTACTCAAAACCGCTGTCTCTTCCCGATAAAATATTAAGAGAGTTTCTTGATATTTTATCCTTGAACATGTATAATAAAATAGGTCGAGCGTTGATTAATTAATCAATTATTAAGTCTATATATAGTATGTAGTAGATATACATGTAGATGTACATTTTTTTTTAATTTCATTTTCTGTATTACGCAAGCTATCTATTAAGCAAGGAGTCCGTAATAGCCGTTTTCCAACCAATCGAACATGAGTTTTCAAAGAAAGCTCGCGGCGATTCGTACATTACAAGAATGAAGCTGTTCCAGTAGCTTGGAATTGAGTAAATAACTTTATAAATACATAGTACGATTGGATATTATGTCAAAAAAAGAAATCATTGGATCTTACGACGTTAAATAGCAGAATCACTAGACGGTATGTAAGATTCCTAAATTCACTGATCGCCATAAAATAATTATTTCATGATGATGATAACCCTATTACCCATGTCTACGAATGATGATTAAAATATTATTAAGACTGACCTAACGATATGGTGAAGAATGAAGACATGACAATAAAGTTTGGGCATTTATCCTATCCCACATACCTGGCTTATGAACAAACACAATAAACTTTATAGCGGCAGCGTGACTCAAAACATTTGACAGGCACATTATTAACACATACTTTTCTATGTAGTGGTCGCCCAGTGGTCGAAATTCGCCAAACAAACGCAACTTTCTTTTTGATATTTTATATTTCATTATTAACTAATATTAAAAATAACATATAGTAATAAATGTATCTATTATGATATGTTTAATATTCAGTAAGATTTTAGATAAACAATAATAAAGACAACAATATTAATCTAACTAAATTAATGTGACCGCAGTTTTTAATATTAAACAAAAGAGTAATATACTATATGTATGCCTGTGTTTTTGTCAAATACATGGTGTATGTGTGATGTTTATTTATTCACTTAATGTATTTTTTTATATTAGCATTCTGCACTCTTTCTTTATATAAACTATAATTGTGCAATATTTCATATTCCTCGATCCGCGCAATGTTCGTGAAAAGAGGTACAAAGTTTTTGCTCCACATGTTAAGATATAGATAATTTCACTAACTTACTTGTATACCTGTAGTTAATAGACTTGTTTAGACCCATAATATTATTTTAAAAGTCAAGCATTTTATCAAAAAAAATCAAGAATTGCTAAGCGTGTTAGAATTTGAGCGACATAGCCCTAGGCCACGCCGGTTATTTAGTGTCCAGTCGTAACATGTGAAATATTTAAAGTAGAAACACGGTGAAAGCACGTACGACACTCAAATGCCACGACCGCTGTTTTTTATGGAACTCTACTCCATGTAAAGGTAACATAACATAGGTATATTAAATTTCAGCGAAACGTGTTTACAAAATAATGGAACATTTATTGTATTTGGTTATTCAACTGAATGTCTGTTAGCAACGATTATTTGGAAATTTGCTTGTGTACGTACATAAAACAAAAAATAATAATAATGTATTGTAATATTATCACACATAAGAAAGAATACCCGCTCAAATAAATTAACATCAATTTGAACATGTCAAAAACAACCAATTTTAGATCACGATACTTCAGTGTATTTCGTCATTCTAATTATTTCTATAAAGTAGCAAGTTACAAAAGACAAATGTTGGTAGGTGTTTAAACTCTACCCTTTGTTCTTCTCGAAGGGTGAGGGTTAAAATACTCTGATAAGAATAATACAAAGGACACAGAAAACCCACTGTGTCGAGTAATAGGACTGATAAGCTATATGAGAGAGAAATATATTATATATTACATACCTTAACTAAGAACGCTAGTTTAATGAAATATGATTTTTATATTATATATCATATTGTATCGTTTTCCTTATTTTTAAATAAAGATTGAATACTTATTGTATTCAATCTTTATGATATTTATTTATTAAAGTTTACCAGCAATTAATACATTCATGTTAACAATCATTCTAACATTTGTGAAATTATAAAAATTCATGATATACTTTTGCTTCTTAAAATACTATAAATGCACATAGTATTTAGGCGGTAATATATTAGAATTAGAGTTGGTCCTTGGTAGCTAATAATTCATCTAAATTTAAATAATCATATCATAATTAATACAAAAAGAATTCTCCCCTTAAGAATATTCAGTAAATGATTCATTTTAGAGGCATATCTTTTTTGTAACAAAATATACCAATTAATCCTAACATATGATTGTTTTGTAAACTGTTACACAATAATTAGTACATGAAGCCCTTTCTATAATACAATACCGTTTCTACATAAGTTCCTATTGAGTAAATTTAACAGATAAAATCTGTTTTATTGGTAAGTACTTTATTAGTAAGGAATATAACTAAAATTTAGAAACCTACAATGAATGTTCATTGTCGGTTTCTAAATTTGCCTAATTTAAATACTCTCTAATAGTTGTGTCTAATTATATTAAAACAATACATAATCGTCATTTTAGATAACAATAGGTCAAATTAAAGTCATATAACATTTGCCAACGCATATAACATTTGATCAAAAGAACCTAATATTAGCTATTGAAAATGTCAACAACTAGGAAGTTAGTCCCACAGGAAATTCCCGCGAAACCGTACAGGGCAAACCAACATTGATTCCAACGCTGCTCAATAATTGGGATTGGGAAAAAACCAGACAAATAGAAAACTAAATTACTTTCCGATACTCGCTGAACGTATTCCCCTATGGAAACAAATATTTTCCGCCAACAGAGTTTGTAGAATGTCAAATAGTATTCGGGTTAGAGAAGTGCCTACTTACAGGTGCTACGAACACGAGTGCTCGAAACTGGCATGACGGAAAATCGTAATGGATGCTTTGCATGCAAAACGCACTGAAACGTCGGCCACGATATTTCTCAATCACAAGTCTATGTATTTCGCACTACTTCATTCTTATTCACATTCTATCTACATTTAAAATTATCACAATGTAAGCCAAGAAGTCTGGTGATATGTGTACGTGTATTGAGATTCTATTCACTATGAAGTCAAATTTACTAAAATTTACCTATAATGCCTACCTAGACAATAAAAGTAAGATTTTTAAAATTATAAAATATTGCACAAAATCTTCTACATAGGTAGTGTCGCCGCTGTATTTCAGCCGCCAAGCTTGCTCTATATGTGTAGGTTCGGTCTCGGTTTGAAGAATTCAGACATAGATGTGAATGGGAATGCGTGAATAAAACCTATTGAAAAAATAAGTTTACCTACTACATAATATACAACTTCGATATTGCGTTCACGGTTACGAAAAGGAAAGTATACCTTCAACATAAAATTTAGGTTATTTGACAATCTGATAGGGGTTGGTGCCATTAAATAAAGTGATGACAAACAACTCCTCCTTGTTGATCATTTACTAAGTATTTTTTTAAGTAAAGATAACCTCAATTTTATTTATACATTTTTAAATTGTTACTAATAAGTTAACGGGACATTTGGACACGAAACATAAACGAAATATCTAGAAATCTCAGATTCAAATCCAGTAAAATTGTAATCCTACAGCAAAACTTATTTCAAGTAGCTTCTATATTTCTCGAATGGGAGAGTAATCGATTGGTTGTTCACCTACAGACAACGAGATCCGGATGCAGGACCGTTGAGTATCGAGCCATGAGCAGAGTACTCGTTTCCGATAGAGCCGACACCATCGGAAATAAGACGAATGGCACCAACATATATAAAACTTAGGTATACTCGATTCAAGGTAAATTAACTTTCATTCAAAATCGATAGATGCTATCGACGTTTGATTTATTAGTAAGGTTAGGTTAATTTTGCATGAATTGTTTATAATCATCGTTTGGATTGGAGTAATTGTTATACAGGATATATTTGTATTCGTAAACTGAAAAATACTTGAGGTATGAAAATCACAGTACAAATAAATTAATTACTAAATATAATTACATAATACATATATTTATATATACATATCAGTTTACTAAGGTTCATATCTACTTAATTATACTATACTCTAAATCGTAATTACTTATAATAATATAAGGATACTACATAACTTAATGCTCTTATTAAAATGGGTCCCCTATATTGTCATTTATTATGGTATATTTTATTCGTGAAATACTAAATATATAATACATATGCATTTAAATAGAAGATGTTTGTGCCATTTCTTATCTGTTTTCTATTCTTATAAAATGGGAAATATATAAAGTTATTAATTTGCATTTATTGTCCACTGGCTATAAATGGGTATATGTTACCAGCGAATCTGCCGTTAAATTGTCCAACACTTCCTTTGTTAATTGTATGTATGTAATAAACATTTTATCACGGATTTTCTTAATGAGTTCTGGTACATCATCCAGTGTCAAGCCCTTCGTCGGAATCGGTTCTAGACATTGCATAATTACGTGTCCTAAAATTATTAAAAAAGAAAGTTATTTAAAGCTAAAATAACACGAATAGAACTGTAATATAATTGTAACAAAAGGACAAAAGCGAGATTTTTAATTTTATTTTGCTTTTGTGTTGAAATAATATTTTTTTAAATTGGTATAGCATACAAGCAACAATAAGTGGTACCCGCCGACTGTATACACGAACAGCACTAGAAAGATCAAGTTATTATGACACTCGCGATACTACTTATTTGTTGCCATTTCAGAGGACTAATCATGTTAATTTCAAATAATGTTATTTATTTTATTATGTAATTTTTCTGCCATATCTCTATCTTCAACCAAAACATAGCGAGGATTACCCACTTGCTAATGTACACGATTTTCAAAAGTACGAGTACACACTCTTATATTTATAATATATATATATATATATATATATATATATATATCTAGTATTGGATAAAACAATAATTACTATTTTTTTAAATTAAATGACAGAGGCATTTTTAATTACAAAAAGTAGAAAAATCATGACTCCACATCAATTGTGAACTTTATGTTTCTACAGAACAAAGTACAAATGACATCCGCCACGCTGTAATTTATTCATCATCTATTATTTTGGCCTTACCTTTTTTAAAGATGTGCTTCTCCTTATCAATAAAATAGTAGGGCGAATATACAACGGGAATTATTGGTACTTGAGCAAATACAGCCATAACAAACGCACCTTTTTTAAATGTCATGAATTTCGTAGTGTCTTTATTTCTTGTACCTTCGGGATATATCCAAATTTTCGTCTAAAATAGTCAAAATATAATAGGTACTTCATATAACTCTCGCTTACTAATAATTATACACGTGTTCAGTCCAGGAACAATAAAAGTTCATAATCATTAATAAATTAGACAACGACAAGGGACAATATTAAGTATAACTCAGAAACTACTAAACAGATCTTAATTTAAATATTATATGTAAATAACCACCTTTCAAAGAGAAAATAATTATCAAAATCAGTACTAGTACAAAAAAGTTCTAAATTTAGTAGAATTGAGAACATCCCCCGTTACTGAGGAAAGCTGAAAAAAAATATTTATAATATTGAAAATAAACTAAAGACTTATGATTGTGACTAATCCAATTATTTATCATAGTATCTTTATATTGCTACAATTTTATAAACATACACATTTATATTGAGTAAAGTAGTTTTGTGAGGTCTATTAGGTAGGTGTACTAATAATCTCAACGCCTTTCAACATTGCCACCTTTGTTCAAATTTCAATTAATATTCTGTCAACAGCAACAATGAAAGAAGGTATATTAAATAGTTCTTTTGATGTTGTTACCTTTTGTTGGACCATTATATGTGACGTAGTTAATAGTGCTTTGTACGCTTGCTTTGGATTAGATCTGTCAACGAAAATCACTCCAGCTAGAAAGGCCGCCAAACCAAAAGGCCATACATACTTTAATTCATTTTTAGCAGCGACAGTTAATTTGTATGCTACTTTACAAATGCTTAGCATTCCTGCAATTAATTTCACAATTATAAAAAAAATACATGAGACATATATCTCTTATTTGATTTTATTACACAATTAGCAGATTGATTCATCGGTTTCTGTTTAGATAAAAAAATTCTACTCGTGATACAATTTGATGAAATTTCCTCATATTTTGTATTAATCTGATCAATGTTACAGACCAGCATTGTCATAAATAACCTATTATGTATAAGCTATTTTTTATATAATTTTATACATCTTAATTTAATAATATTTAATTTTGTATTTCATACCAATATAACTGAATACATACTGAAGTTTATTGTTAAGTACATTTAAACTTTGATTTGTTTACTACATCTACATATACATATTATTAATCATATACATACTTACGTTTTATAGGTACGTTACCTCTCAGTTTTACTTCGACTATTCTGATCCCTACTAAATAGTTACAAAAATACCTAAAACATCTAAAGATGACTGATGGTTTGCTACTATTACAGCTCCACGATCCTCTGCTAATACTTCACCATTTCTTAGTTTAAAATTGACATTCAATACTGATGTTATGACAACTGAGAATTTTGAAGCCCACCTAAAAAAAAATATCTACATAAATACGAGAGTTACCTTACTCTTACCTCATAACACACCATCCATATATAGCAGTGTATTTCAATCTGTAAGTGTGTGTGTGTTCAAGGCTTATCGGTGGGGGTCGTCAGCTGAAAGAAAAAGTCGAGGTTCATATACAACAAAAACATAATTTCAGTGGCAAGGATGTACTTATTTATTTTTCAAAGTTTGACAACTTTTTGTGATGAAAAACACTGCTATATAGTAATTTCAAACAAATCAAAACACAATAAGAAATATACCTACGATATTGTTATATCCCATTACCACAACTTACCTGAAATTTCTAGAATGTCTTGGCTTTAATAAGAATAATGGCCAAAGACAAAAAGCTACAATAGACAAGAAAAAATAGTAGAATAAAAATTTAGAGTGATATTTGATTTTATTGGATTCATTTTGCATCATCCTTCTAATGCAATATGAAATTATACACAAGGAACAAAACGTTAATGTTAAGACCCACATTGTTGTTTGTAATACACTAGAGATGCAATGAGTTGGCAAAAGTTTTTCACGTAACAGTTTTACAATTGCTACGTAAGTTGTAATTATATAAAATGGTTATATTTAGAGTTCCCTACATTGTAAAATAATACCGTAAAGAATATTCTTATAGTTTAAAATTGTAGTACTAACATCAAAGATTTGAAATTTAAAATACTTTACCATGCTATTTTCAACTTCATTAATTGTAAAATAATTAACCGATTAATGTTTGTTTATTAATATATAAATAGTACTTTACAAATAATATAATAGGTACGTTAACTGCATCTTTTACTTTATAAATTAATCTACATAGTGTAACGTTATGTAATTTCTAAAAAAGGATCACGAAAGTCTTGAAACGATACAATATTTAATTTAAGATATTTTTGTTTTTACTTACAGATCACAAAGAATCCACCCGTCTATTTTTATTATTATAACTCTAAAAATATTTTTGTTACATTTGTACGGATCCTCTTATAAATAAACAAGATTTGATTACAGCCAAAATTAACATGCGAAATCTATTTGACCTTCATATATATAAGTATCATGAATACCTCTATAATAATATGGTTAAAACCCGACATAATGGGGGTAATTAATCAAATACTTAAATCACTACTAAACATTTTTTTATAAGACATTGACTTTTCTATTTTCATATACCTAGTTCAAACATATAGATGCAAAACCTTAATCATTTAGTAAGTTATGATATAAGTTGAATAACTATAACGGTTTAATACCAATTCCTAAAAGAATACTTAGGAAATTATTTATTAGGCCTATTGTCTAAACTTATGATTTCTATACCTAGATGTTTCAACGGAGTATTGATGAATCAATTAGTCAATTATTGATGATTTACTTGATTTACTTTACTACTAAGATTATAACAACCAATATATGTATAATTGTTAAAATATTATGCACCCAGGTAGGTATGTCACTATCATATTTCACTTTTTAAATAGCTGCTAATATTAGTGAGATAAATGTACATGTTAAACAGATTTTTGGTATTATATATATATATATATATATGTATTTTTATATTAATGATAATGCAATCGATATTTATATGAATGAGGTTTGGTCAGCTAGCCCATCGTGACTAATTCACCAGGAATTTGACACGTAGGTTTCCGAGAGGAAATAAGTAGAGATCAACCTGACATGGTAAATGCAGTGCCATCATCAGTCCGCGTTACTAACAACCCCCTTCCCCGTATAGCACATTTTTAGTACTTTTCATTCAATATAGTCAGCCCAACTTTGATTATGAAACTTATAAATAACTAGTTTATTAGCATACAACGTTATAATTTAATTTTCTCATTGCTTTCTTGATTTAATTGATTGAATTTAGAAATATGAAAGCGTAGCGGTTTTTGTATTGATTGCCGCATGCATTCTTATGTAAAATGTGAATACTATAACTATCAGATAGCAATTGTAAGTAGCTTTGACGTAGTCTAGTGTTTTTGAGTAGTCATGCTCACTAAAATATCCAGACTTGTGGCGGCGTGGTGGGCCGGGTCATTGGGCTCCCTAAAATATGGTCGAGCGCAGTGATGGCTGGCTCATCCGTCATACTCGTGAACGGGTGCTGCTTGTAGGGACTGGTCTGCTCTAATCACTATGACTGATTTCCTCTTATTAATTGTTTAACCAGTTGGTTATATATTCAATATTATTTCTATTTGAGTATTTAATAGAATTAGTGCTAATTGGTGGTTTGTATTCACACACTTAAACTTAAAAATGTAAAGTAATAATAAATTATTTAAAAGAGCAACACGCAAGTTTCTTGCTCGTTCTTCTTGTGATGAGACAGCTTTCCGAACGAGCGGTAGATTAAAAAATGTAATGACTATTCAAAAGTGCTTCAATGTAAGTTTATTTGAATAAATGATTTTCTATTCTATTCTATTCTATTCTATTCTATTCTATTCTATAAATCGAAATAAATCTATATTGTATATATATATATATATTGGATATATATTGAGCTTAAGATATAAAACCACCTTACACTTGCTAAGCATGACATCGTCAATTATGAATATAAATTTTGCCTTGAAATTTTATTATTGCTGCGATTACACTCTATCAGCAACTATTATCTATCTTTCAAGGCAAGTTTGTTTACCATAAACTAACTCAATTATATTTATATTAATATTTTATTTTGAATATAATATTTTCTGTTATTATCTATTAATTAACCGAGCGGGGTATATCGTACCTATATATATGTTTAACGTAAACAAAAGCAAGTAAGGAACATATAAATACGTCCTTGAAATATACATATAATATAAGTAACAAGTATTTTTATTATTATTTTTACTATATATTAATGAAAAAACGTATATATTTCATAATGAATGTCGTTGCAACATATAGGGAAAGTATTATTATTTCGTATATTAATTAAAGTCCAAATCAATTGATCATATATCAATTCATCGCAATTCAATAAAAAAAACATTAATTTTAAAGAAATATACTGTTATGTTACTATGATTTTTTGTTGGGTATGAAATAAGATATGAAACGTTTTTTATTTTCTACATTAACTCGAACATTCGTATCGTGGGTTATATTCCTAGATTTTAGATTCCCTGGTTTCTTAGACTTGTGGTATTGTAAAACAAATAAAGACCAGACAATTGACGTACCTTTTTGTGTTAAATCTATTCGTGAATATTTTGAAATTTTAAATAATTCCATTTAAAAGCTGCATTGATATACTAATGAAACTCACAACTTATCACTTTTTGGGTCAACCACAATATACATATTTATACATATACGCTATGTAGATATATGGAAATTAAGTTTAGTTTATGGAGTCAAATATCCGTCTTAATTATGAGCAAAGTTTGGCCTACTTCATTCAGGGTCTGGCAACCCTAACTATGTCTTATTACGTTTTACGAAACTTAGTAATCTCTTCCCCTGTAACTTAGATCCAATATCCATAATGTACGTACAGAAAATTACCTACGGAAAACAATCGACAACTAGTTATAGTTTTTTTTACTATAGGTAAATACTCGCAATTCACATCACATCCTACTAAATGTAATTGATGATGCAAGATAATGTTGATCGAAAAAAAATATTCTTCGTTATGTAATTAAAAAGCTAGCATAGAGGGCTAATTCTACTGCTTATAGTACCTACGCATGACGTAATAAAACTGTTTTGAGCGCTTCGTGCAAATAAATATAATAACTTTGACATGAGTATGAAGTGGTGTATGGTCTCTGAGATTGGAAGAGTATGCTAATGTAAATGAATGAACAAAATATATAGTATATAATAAGAATACTTTTCAAACAATTTATCTGTAGCGGTACAGAGCGGCGCGTAATTTCACTAGAGTATTCTAAGGCTTCGGAACTTGGATAGTGGCAATCAGTCCTCTCTTATTTATTTGTTAGTTCGACGTTCAACAAAACATATTGCAAGTAGTCGATTCTAGATGAAAAAACATAAATTAATTCTTTATGATATTTGAATATATTATAATGCTATAAACTGTTCCTATATAGAATACCATCTATCCTTAAAGAGTACATCAAATTTTAATTGCAAATGCAGCGACTTAAAAAAAATTCTTCTTCTTAAAAAAAAGTCTTATTTAGCTATAATATTCATCAATAGTACGTTCATGAGAAGCTGAGGCATGAGGCAAGTAGCCAGTATTTAATAAACGACGTAGCCTACTTACATTTCTTACAAAAACACTATTTGTCAAGTGGCCTGGATAAGCAGGAATTTCACTTGGTGGGTGGCTACTTATAACAACTGAACCGGATAACGTGCACATAATAGAATAGTGACTCAGCTATTTTGTCGTTGTAAGCAAGTTATTTGTTTGGACCCACTGAATCAATATTTGTTTCCGTGTTCCATTGGTAGTAGTGGCATAGTATAATTTTAATAATAAACATTTTAATCCTCTTTTAATAATATTATAATACGTTGTATGAACTTTAGCCTTTATTGAACATGCTACTTATGTACTTGTGTATAAACATCAACAGAAATAATTAAATAATGGATGTTAATTTTATCATTATATATTCTGATTAAAGAAATGAGGGGAACGTTTAAAAATTCAGTTCCCACTGCTTAATCCAAAAGCGGCCTAGTGTGATGATAAACAGAAGACATTGATAAGCATTTCTTAAGCATAGAGTGAACTTCTTTGCATTTTCAGTCGTCAGTTTATCATCTTACCTTCAACCAAAGCTGTGTGACGTATTTGTTAGACTATAATCAGATAATTTAACGATTAAATAAACAAGTCTATCCTTAAGACGTATTCTCACAGGGCCGACAGAAAATAATCGAGAAATGTATTATCAGCGACATTAATTCGGATCAATTTATTTCTTACTTAAAACGTTTCTAATTATGTAACAACTTTCACTAGGATCTGTCTAATAAACATTAGGTTATTAGAGGATGACAGTAACAGTAAATATTCTTTATTATATTAACAAGCTTATTTTCATCAAACATTTTTTGATGGCGAGACAACTTTGTACAAAGTTGTTTCTACAGGGACAGCATTACAAACTTTGCGGCGCTTGTAGATGCCTACGAAAAAATATAAAATACAATTACTGAAAAACAAAACACTAACTAAAATTAAATTTCAGAATACAAAAACGTAGGAATGCGAATTAATACGAATAGAAAAATAAGTAGAAAAATATTTCTTATATTGCAGGTCCAGTAGGTATATCGCCTGTTACTATGCCATAAAATGTTCTACTTTCATTTATTGGTACAACATAAGTGTAACGCAGTAAGTACTTTTGTCTGATAAGATATTCAATTTATTTCTGCAATAAATCTTCTAAATTAAATAGGATGTAAAGCAATAAAAACAT